AGGATAAAGTTGATTCCTTTATTATCAACAGTCGGTAAATGACTCTATCCAGTTGACAACTATTCACCACTTGATTACAATGTTTTTAATATCAATTTCTGAGTGAAAATAAAAATTCATCACTGCTTTATTGATGAATGATTTTTATTTATATAATATTACAATTTTTAATTAAAACGTATGACTTTTACGTTTATATATAGTAGTGATAATTAAAGAAATAATTATCACAAGTCAATTATCACAGTAGAACATAATATATCGAAAGGAGTTCGAACTGACTCATAAATTACAATCACGCCTGATTTTTCAAATCATAAAAATTTAATGACGTAAATACTTATTACACACTTGTTTATAAATTCACCATTTTTTCACTAAAACTCGTTTGGTAAGTTAATCGCAAAGTCTCTCATTTTTCCCAAAAAATAACATTTACATATGCGTCTATCTAGTAAATATAGTTTCAAACAAAGAAAAAATAAATAAAAATTATTACTAATTTTTTAAAAACATTATTTTATAAATAATAATTCTATTGATATTGTATTTAAATCATTTGGTTTGAAATAACATTGTAAGGACTTAATTATAAAAACAGATAAATTAAAACATATAATATATGCCATTAATCAAAAAAAAAAAAAAAAAAAAAAAAAGATATTTAATCAAATTAGTGAATCGAATTAACACCTTTCGCAGCTCTCAGCGTGAAAGACAAATCAGTATTTGAAATCGTAGATAGTTATATGAATTATTACTTGTCAATTCAAAAAAGGGAGCTCATGCAATGATAAAAAAAAAGATCACGTGAGGGTGAAAGCAGACTGCTTCAATTAATCACATGGAAAAAGATCAATCTTCAAAAGAATTAGAAATTGATCTATCGTTTTGCCTTTCTTTACATCCGTGTTCTTATATAGATAAAATACTAGAAATTATGGGAAGTATATCATAATTTATTTTTTCATATAAAATAAAAAAAACATTGTTTGTTATTAATTACTGCTTATTTTCATTCATTTTTTATAAAAACAGTAACAGTAAATAGTTGCTATGGAAACGGTTACTATGGAAACGATTGCTATGGAAACGGTTGTCATGGAAACGATTGCTATGGAAACGGTTGCTATGGAAACGGTTGTCATGGAAACGATTGCTATGGAAACGGTTGTCATGGAAACGATTGCTATGGAAACGGTTGCTATGGAAACGGTTGTCATGGAAACGATTGCTATGGAAACGGTTGCTATGGAAACAGTTGCTATGAACCTATGGAAACAGTTGCCATAGTAACGGTTGCTATGGAAACGATTGCTATGGAAACGGTTACTATGGAAACTGTTAGTATGGAAACGGTTACTATGGAAACGGTTACTATGGAAACGGTTACTATGGAAACGGTTACTATGGAAACGGTTACTATGGAAACAGTTGCCATAGTAACGGTTGCTATGGAAACGATTGCTATGGAAACAGTTACTATGGAAACTGTTAGTATGGAAACGGTTACTATGGAAACGGTTACTATGGAAACGGTTACTATGGAAACGGTTACTATGGAAACGATTGCTATGGAAACGGTTGTCATGGAAACGGTTGCTATGGAGACGGTTGCTATGGAAACGGTTACTATGGAAACGGTTGCTATGGAAACGGTTGTCATGGAAACGGTTACTATGGAAACGGTTACTATGGAAACGGTTACTATGGAAACGGTTGCTATGGAAACGGTTACTATGGCAACCATACGAGTATACGACGGACGGACGGATGCCAAAGCGAAACTATACAGCTTTCGGGCCTAAGCCACAAAAACCCTAAAAAGTAACATAAAAATAACGTAAATTTTGAAATAAATAAAAAATATAATAAAATAAAAAAAGAATAGATTTAAATAAAAATTAAAAATTAATGAACGAATGAATTTAAATTTTAAAAAAAAATACTTTTTCTTTAATACTACATCATAAAATTCACGCGCAAGTCAAATTTACTAACATGAATTAACGAAAATTGCACAATTTAGAAAAATACAGAGCATAAAAACTGGATCTCATCTGGTAGTGCGTATACACATATTTAATCATCGATTAAGTAACATTTTATACTATCAACATCTACTAAGAAATTCAGCTTCTCTCTTTTTCTTTAAAAAAAAAAAAATACCTCATTGCCTGCCACTAAAAAATTTACATAAAACATTTAATTTACTACCAGTTTCTTCCGTAATTTAGTCATGAAACCATTTTTATTTTTTTCAAACGTTCCGTTTCCGTCGTCGAAAAAGAATGCGATTTCGTAAATGAATTAATTTTTTTCATATTATATCATTTTTTTTTTCGTTTCGAATAACAGACATTTTCAATATGTCTAAAATAATGTATTATAAGTTCATTTTACATTGTTTCTGAGAAAGGAAAGGCGGACATAAATTTTGCTATTATTAAAATAGCATTAATAACTCATTGTATAGTATAAATATATAAACAGAGAGTTGTGAATAGTCGCGTAATTTATGCGCCTCTTAATTAACTAATCATTTTCCAACAAGTAAGATGAGATGATTATATGATTAATGTTTTGGTATATCAATGAAAAAAAAAAAAAAATTTATTATCTTATTAAATATTCTTAAAATTAGTAAATTTATTGTAAAGAAGTTTTTTTTTTGTAAAAAACAAAATTTTAATTTTTTTCAAAGGGTTTAAAATTTTTTTGGATTAATTAATTTTGATTAGCTCGCGCGTTTGCTTATATTTGATGCCACAATTTCGTAATTATAACACCATCGTAAATACCACGGGAAAATTGTCCATTTGCATAAATCTGAATTTATTGCGTAAAATTTTGCTCAAACATGCGTATTAACTGTAAACGAATCTTAGTTAAGATTTCTTTCACAATTTTCTGGACATTTGTTTCTAAAAATTTAAGAAATGTGGATGAATAATTTTTTTTTTTGGATATAATTACCAAAAAAGTTAAATTTGTTTTTTTATCGTTTTATAATGTCATTTTTTTTAAAATCAATAATCTATTGGTAAATTAATTGTTTGAAACATTTCTTAATTTATAAACTCACTTTTTCACGAGTTAATAAGAAGTCATTATTATCGATAATTAAATCTTTCGTTACACACTTTTTTTGGTTTCGATAATACAAAAGGCCCTTTATGATTTGAGAAATAATTAACAAAGTTTATATGTTATATATATATATATATTGAGAGGGAATGAAATTTATACTTAAAGAGATGAAAGCAACTTTTGCTAGATTCGGTAGTTGAGTTTCTATTAATTATCTTTCCAAATTATCGCATCATTTGGAAGTCACAAAAAAATTTTGAAAAAAATTAGTTTCTAATTACATAATTACAATTTTTTTCTGATCGTTTTTTTTTAATTAAATAAGTTTTCCCCCAAATTTGATATGAAAGCAAAAATTAAGGTATTGAAATTAAAAAAAGTTGACAGTACAAGCAAAAAAAATTTCTTGTGTTATCTACAAACTGCAGTTGTAGTCTCTACAAAACAGCTCATTTTGGGAAATACCCAAATTGGACTTGTGAACAAAACAACATTTTTTGTTGTTAACAGCAAGAAACAACGCGCAAATTTTTTGTAAGAAAAACAGTTTGTTTTGTAACGGTTGCTATGGAAACGGTTGCTACGGAAACGGTTGCTACGGAAACGGTTGCTATGGAAACTGTTACTATGGAAACGGTTGCTAAGGAAACGGTTACCATGGAAACTGTTGCTATGGAAACGGTTGCTATGGTAATGGTTGCTACGGAAACGGTTGCTACGGAAACGGTTGCTATGGAAACTGTTGCTATGGAAACGGTTGCTAAGGAAACGGTTACCATGAAAACTGTTGCTATGGAAACGGTTACTATGGAAACGGTTGCTATGGTAACGGTTGCTACGGAAACTGTTGCTATGGTAACGGTTGCTAAGGAAACGGTTGCTACGGAAACTGTTGCTATGGAAACGGTTGCTACAGAAACGGTTGCTATGGAAACTGTTGCTATGGAAACGGTTGCTACGGAAACGGTTGCTATGGTAACGGTTGCTAAGGAAACGGTTACCATGGCAACCATACGAAAAGTACAACGGACGGACGGACGGACAGACGCCAAAGCGAAACTATAAGGCTATGAGGCCTGAGAGCCACAAAAACCCTAAAAAAAAACGTTTTGACGACAAGTAAAATATTTATTGAAAATATATTTTGAAAGTGAGATTATGTATTTGATCGAGGGTACCGGTCATCCTTATGAACGATTGGTACACATAATATTTTATTTTTCAATAAAGTAACTAAAGATATTGAACGATGGTGCAATCATGGAATCCATACAAAGCCCGTTGAGTTCGAGACGAGAGGCGTGTCGGTGGGTGTACTGAAGTAAAACCAAGATCCGATTTATAAGAGTACCGCATGCAACGAGTGTAACGACTTCAAGGACGCTCAACTCTCCCAGGAAACTGCTAACCGATATCCGCGTGGACACTGTTCATCGCACTTATAACTTGTCTTTGAATCTTATATATATGTATATATTATTCAAATTCTTGCGAAATAGATTCCATTCCTTCGTGTGTTGTTGATTTCATTTTTTCTAATATACAAAAAAAAAATATTTAATTTCAATTTTAAATACAAAAAAAATATATAGAAATTTAATTTTTGTCCAAAATAAAATTTTCTATAATTCTCTTTATGTACATATTCATCGTTAGTTTCAAGGTTTTAAGAAAAAGTCAATTGAAAGTATTTTATGTAAAAAAAAAAGTCAACGGACTATAAATATGTTAAATTTCTATAACAATAAAAATTATTCAATTATTGGTACAAGTGATAAAAATTTTTTTTTTATAATTTCTTATTTACATGACAAATGAAAAAAAATTTCAAATGTAAATAATATTTGATAAGAGTCTTTATAAAAAGGTTTAGAAATATTCGTTAAATTATCAAATATCAGTGATATAGATTGATTGACGAATTTTATTCCATAATGAAAATTATATACATTTTGCTATGTCTAGTGGTAATTTTCTTTTTTATAACAATTGTTCAAGCAAACAATTATATTGATTCACAAGAATGTTCAAAAAGAGGAGATATATGTAGCAGAAAATTAAATAAAAAATGTTGCACTGGATTAAAATGTAGAGTATTTGGATCATTGTCAAATTTGAAATTTTGTTCTGAATTCTGAAAACAATTACGGTAACTATTTATAGTATTTATTATTTTATTTATTTAATTAAAATTTCTTTTATTAAAAAATATTGTAATATATCCTAATTTTCTTTTTTTTCAATTACAGTACAATATTTCAATCTCAATATTGAAGGCAATGCAAGATTTTCAATTTTAACATTAGTTTCATTAACTTATTTTGTAAATAATTTAAATAAGAATTCTTAAAATTTAATTCACAAATATGTAATTTATTTTAAGCTTTAAAATATTTATTATTTTTTAATATTTAAATATTTGTATGTATATAAATGTACGATAGTGAATTAAATTTATTTTACTAAAACAAAAATGTATTGTATCAGTCACGAATGAAATGCAAAAAAAAAAGTAGCAAGTTTTTTTTTTTCTTCAATGACAAATAGTATTTATTTGTCATTGGAGAAACGACGCAGTTCGTCGGACGATTCAAGGTGAGGATTTCCCAAAAAAAAAAATGGATTTATCTACGCCGTTATATAGAAAAATACTAATACGTGGTCTTCGATTCGTTGTGTGTCCTTAAGCTCGATTTCTAAAATCGCAAAAAAAAACCAGCCGGGTTGAATGGTGCAATTGCGCTAAGCATAAATTTATAATATTCTTGGCAAATATTCATTTTTCAAAACAGTATTTTGAAAACTAAAAATATAAAAAATTACCGACATAGATTCCTATGTCGGTAATTTGATATATTTCTATTTTCCTGTTTTACCACCGGTCGGTAATGTAGATTTCTATGTCGGTAATTTTTTTAATATTTTCATTTTCCTGTTTTACCATCAGTCGGTAAGGTAGATTTCTAGGTCGGTAATTTTTTATATTTTTCAATTTTTTTTTACCATCTATGTATTCAAAATTGTTATTGAATAAAAGGCTCGTGAGAATTGGTCCATTAAGTTAAGAAGAAAACATCGTGAATTACAAGTTGTTATAAAATATATATACGCAGCCCACGTGCACTTGTGCGTCGCTCCGTCCTTATCCATGTCGTTGTACAAGTATGTCTGAAAGAGAAAAATAGTCATCGAGTTGTTACAGACATGAGACGTATATCGGCGAGTTCTATTTTCTTATGGGTATCATTTTATCAGAGGAAGAGAGAAAGAGAGGAGAGAGACTCCTACACACAAGTACCAATCGTGCACAGGAAGAGAGACCAACCTCCTTCACCTCAGTATCTAAAGGGGTATTATGGGTATTGGTATATATATATATATATAAGGGAGACCAAGAGGCGAATATGTCGACGCCAATAAAGGATCGATATCGATATAAATCGAGATCTACGGATGGCTTACATGAACCGTACTTGTACGCAGAGCATCCAACATGAACGCCGCTTATTATGAACTTGAAGGACTGACCGTACTTCGACAGGGTCGATTCCTGGGTGGTCCCTTCTCATTTCCCTCTCAACATTATTTACATATATTTAAATACCGTATTATACACTTTTTCCGGAACGAAACAAAAAAAAAAAAAATTTTTTTTGGCCATTATTTCAATTTTCCTCCGAATAATAAAACTAATCGGATAAACTATTGAGGCATTTTAGTACTTTCTATACATAAAATTTATAATTTTATTTTTAATTCAATTTTTATAAAAAATAAATTTCTTGTATCCCGAAGCTCTATACCTAATCAGAGATAATCTATTAAACTACAAATAAAATGGTCTATCTTGATATTGAACTACCAATGTTATTATATCTATTAAGATAATAATGAAACAGTCGATTTAGTCGCACCTTATAAAAATAAAATTCAACCTTATGTGAAAATAATTCTACAATGTAACGCAATAACCAAATTTATATTACTACATGGGACAAACATTTTTGCCTCAATAATTTTCTCAAGAAATTTGTATTCAATTTTGACGAAAAAAAAATAACAATTCTATTCTATAGTAGGGCGTCTCCCTTATTCTCTCTATAATATGTTGCAGCTTCAGAAAGAGAGAGAGATTGAATATAGCCAGGGGCGACAATCTTCAAGTGGCTTCTGGAGCAAATAGCGTCCCGCGATTGCAAATGCATGAGGAATTTGCATTTAAACGCTTGTCTTACGTAAGCAAGAGACTTGCGTCCAGGAAACGCTAATAAATATAAAAGGCGATTGTATGCATACTCTCACTATATATATATATTCCCGCCGTTATCATCCTTTCAATGGATCCAAAATTGGATGCTGCCTATTTTGGACTCAAGATAGATCAGACGTTAAAAATGCAAAAAAAAAAAACGATATTATCATATATATATTTATGATTAATCTCTTTCAAAGAACGTTGTCAACAGTGTATGAATCTCTATCATATATAATTTTATAAAACCACGACTGGAGACAAAATTATATTAATACTATCATTGCATCAATATACATGAGAATAAACGAGGGGATATAGGATTGCAAATTTTATAACACAGGCATTTCAGATCTAACTGTAACGCGATCTTTACGCAACCCTTTCACTGATGGTCGATGCAATTGCTTTGGGAGTTGCATTCCTATACGACGTTAAAACTCCCCGCCTTGAAGAATGCATTCTTTCGTTTCTTTATACAGTTTTAACCATGTTCTACATATACATATAAAGCTATATATATATATATATATATAAATCCATCTATTTTGTTAAATTTTCAATTATTTATTTTTTATTCCATAAATATGTGATTTTTCTAACAATTAATATAGCAACCGTCACAAATAGCAACCGTTTCAATGATAACCGTTACTATGGCAACTGTTTCCATAAGTCCATAGCAACTGTTTCGATAGCAACCGTTTCCATGACAACCGTTACTATGGCAACTGTTTCCATAGGTCCATAGCAACTGTTTCCATGACAACCATTTCCATAGCAACCGTTTCCATGATAACCGTTACCATAGCAATCGTTTCTATAGTAGTTGTTTTCATAGCAACTGTTTCCATGACAACCGTTTCTATAGCAACCGTTTCCATGACAACCGTTACTATGGCAACTGTTTCCATAGGTCCATAGCAACTGTTTCCATGACAACCATTTCCATAGCAACCGTTTCCATGATAATCGTTACCATAGCAACCGTTTCTATAGTAGTTGTTTTCATAGCAATTGTTTCCATAGCAACCGTTTGTATAGTAGTTGTTTTCATAGCAACTGTTTCCATGACAACCGTTTCCATGACAACCGTTACTATGGCAACTGTTTTCATAGGTCCATAGCAACTGTTTCCATGACAACCGTTACCATAGCAACTATTGCCATAGCAACTGTTTCCATGACAACCATTTCCATAGCAACCGTTTCCATAGGTCAATAGCAACCGTTTCCATGATAATCGTTACCATAGCAACCGTTTCTATAGTAGTTGTTTTCATAGCAATTGTTTCCATGACAACCGTTTCTATAGCAACCGTTTCCATGATAACCGTTACTATGGCAACTGTTTCCATAGGTCCATAGCAACTGTTTCCATGGCAACCGTTTCCATAGTAGTTGTTTTCATTGCAACTGTTTCCATGACAACCGTTTCTATAGCAACCGTTTCCATGATAACCGTTACTATGGCAACTGTTTTCATAGGTCCATAGCAACTGTTTCCATGAAAACCGTTACCATAGCAACTATTGCCATAGCAACTGTTTCCATGACAACCATTTCCATAGCAACCGTTTCCATAGGTCAATAGCAACCGTTTCCATGATAATCGTTACCATAGCAACCGTTTCTATAGTAGTTGTTTTCATAGCAATTGTTTCCATGACAACCGTTTCTATAGCAACCGTTTCCATGATAACCGTTACTATGGCAACTGTTTCCATAGGTCCATAGCAACTGTTTCCATGGCAACCGTTTCCATAGTAGTTGTTTTCATTGCAACTGTTTCCATGACAACCGTTTCTATAGCAACCGTTTCCATGATAACCGTTACTATGGCAACTGTTTTCATAGGTCCATAGCAACTGTTTCCATGAAAACCGTTACCATAGCAACTATTGCCATAGCAACTGTTTCCATGACAACCATTTCCATAGCAACCGTTTCCATAGGTCAATAGCAACCGTTTCCATGATAATCGTTACCATAGCAACCGTTTCTATAGTAGTTGTTTTCATAGCAATTGTTTCCATGACAACCGTTTCTATAGCAACCGTTTCCATGATAACCGTTACTATGGCAACTGTTTCCATAGGTCCATAGCAACTGTTTCCATGGCAACCGTTTCCATAGTAGTTGTTTTCATTGCAACTGTTTCCATGACAACCGTTTCTATAGCAACCGTTTCCATGATAACCGTTACTATGGCAACTGTTTTCATAGGTCCATAGCAACTGTTTCCATGAAAACCGTTACCATAGCAACTATTGCCATAGCAACTGTTTCCATGACAACCATTTCCATAGCAACCGTTTCCATAGGTCAATAGCAACCGTTTCCATGATAATCGTTACCATAGCAACCGTTTCTATAGTAGTTGTTTTCATAGCAATTGTTTCCATGACAACCGTTTCTATAGCAACCGTTTCCATGATAACCGTTACTATGGCAACTGTTTCCATAGGTCCATAGCAACTGTTTCCATGGCAACCGTTTCCATAGTAGTTGTTTTCATTGCAACTGTTTCCATGACAACCGTTTCTATAGCAACCGTTTCCATGATAACCGTTACTATGGCAACTGTTTTCATAGGTCCATAGCAACTGTTTCCATGAAAACCGTTACCATAGCAACTATTGCCATAGCAACTGTTTCCATGACAACCATTTCCATAGCAACCGTTTCCATAGGTCAATAGCAACCGTTTCCATGATAATCGTTACCATAGCAACTGTTTCCATGACAACCGTTACTATGGCAACTGTTTTCATAGGTCCATAGCAACTGTTTCCATGGCAACCGTTTCCATAGTAGTTGTTTTCATAGCAACTGTTTCCATGACAACTGTTTCTATAGCAACCGTTGCTATGGCAAACTATTTTTCTATCATATGCATACCAATTTTTGACCTAAATTTTAAGACACAAAATCCTCGATGAAGGCGATTTGCGCCTGCTTCTCTTACTAATTTTTTTTTTTATTTAGTTATATAAATGATAAAGTACCAAAATTTTATGGATTACCAAAAATTCCATAAACCTGGAATTCTACTTCGTCAAAAAACAGCTTTTTATACAGTAATCCAATTTGTAATATTTCAAAATACATTGCTACAATGTTTTAGAAAAATCTTTAAATATAAAAAAACTTATGTTTACAATAATTTCTGTGTAACAAGGAGAAAAATGCTCTTGTATATATATATATATAGGCTGGAAT